CCTTAACCACTGACTGCGCAACACCTAGATCTGCTGAAGAAAGCAATTACATGTTATCGCTTCGCTCTACATTTCATCTAGACCGTCAGGTGGTGACATGAGGTCATATCTTAGTACATTTAGCGCTCCAAGGGTTGAGCTGGATGGAGTGCGTCTGTCCAGCGCTCAGAATCCCCCATGCAAGCCCACCAAGAAGGTGAACAGCAGGGGGAGAACTCGAAATAACATGCTTTGCAAATCAGGTGTGTAGTTAGTTATGTATGAGTGGCCTGTTGTGTACATGTGTGTGGATATTTAGATGTCTGGGTGTGGCTAGTAAGTTGTGTGGTGGGAGATATTTGTATGACATTGTTGCTATTTGAAAAATTAGATTTAATTTGAATTCCTAAAAGCCACACTTTAGTGAATAACTGTGACTTTATATGTCATTTAGTTGCCTGACAATGGGGTAATAATGGGTAAAGGAATTATTTCTGTAATTGAACGAACGACTCAGATTCAGGATGGATTATATAAATTACAGTTTGTCAGCATTGGGTTCTGTTCATTTTCTCACAATTACTGGGAATATGGCATTATATTAGCTATTTGGTTATGTCTGGGTTTGGCTAGTTAGACTTGCGTGTGTGGCTAGTTAGGTATTAGAGCAATCTTGCTGATTTCTTTGGTGTCCATGGTAACTGCGATAGGCTGCATTATCTGCCAATCATTACAACACCCTTATTAAAGAGTTACTCCAACCACCATAACAACTTTAGTGATTTGAAAAAGTCATGATGGTAGGATTCAGTATGTGCAGTTATTTGTGTGTCTTGGGCTAGTAGCTCTCTGTTCTGGGCTGCCTAATGTAAATTCTCTGCACGCAGCCGACAGACATTGTAGGACGAGTGCTTCCCCCTCACTCAAACTGTACATTTTATAAAGGTTTTTAAAAATCAAACAAACAAAAAAAATAATATCCATCCCACCCCTCAGCATTATAGATGCTCTCTGAGCAAGCAAAACCTTCCTATAAGAGACATTTCTATCAGAAGCCTGAGATTGCACCGTGCAGATGTCCCCATCATGGGGCGTGTTGAAGAGCAGCACTGGGAGCTTCGCCCTGAAGGTAAGTTTATAAACCTTTTTTTACAGGTTTGGCCGGGTGAGGTGGGTCCTATTACTTTGGACCAATTAGGCATTTGTAATGTTACAACATATTCTTTAAGTATCTCATGTTTCGATTTGTGGTAAATGTCAAAATTTTCTCCATCCTGGCCCTCAGACACTATGATCAGTGCTGCCATTTCTAACTGAAAGATATATGGTCAGTCCTGCTGGCTGCCATATTGTCTAGCCTTAAAGAATGACAAAGAGAGACACCAATAAACCAGTCACTAAATGATAACCATTCCCCAAATTATAACCATTCAATGACCCAGTCACCGGATTATAACCATTCAATAATACAATCACCAGATTATAACCATTCAATAAACCAGTCACCAGATTATAACCATTCAATAATACAATCACCAGATTATAACCATTCAATAAACCAGTCACCAGATTATAACCATTCAATGAGCCAGTCACTAAATGATAACCATTTAATAAAGCAGTCACTAGATTATAATTCAATAAACTATTTACCAAATTATAACCATTAAATAAACCAGTAAATAGATTATAACCATTTAATAACCCAGTCACCATATTATAACCATTCAATAAACCAATCACCAGATTATAACCATTCAATAAACCAGTCACTACATGATAACCATTCAATAATACAGTCACCAGATTATAACTATTCAATATACCAGTAACTAGATTATAACCATTTAATAAACCAGTCACCATATTATAATACAGTAAGCGGATTATAACCGACTGATTCCTCTTCTGCAACTGTCACCAGTCTAATACTATCCTTACCTTTTGTGTCATTTTATCCCACTCCCTCTAACATGTAAGCTCACTGAGCAGGCCCTCAATCCCTCTGTTACTGTCACTATACCCCACTACCTCTAACATGTAAACTCACTGAGCAGGGCCCTCAATCCCTCTGTTACTGTGTCACTATACCCCTCTCCCTCTAACATGTAAGCTCACTGAGCAGGCCGTCAATCCCTCTGTTACTGTGTCACTATACCCCACTCCCTCTAACATGTAAGCTCACTGAGCAGGCCCTCAATCCCTCTGTTACTGTGTCACTATACCCCTCTCCCTCTAACATGTAAGCTCACTGAGCAGGCCCTCAATCCCTCTGTTACTGTGTCACTATACCCCACTCCCTCTAACATGTAAACTCACTGAGCAGGCCCTCAATCCCTCTGTTACTGTGTCACTATACCCCACTCCCTCTAACATGTAAACTCACTGAGCAGGCCCTCAACCCCTCTGTTACTGTGTCACTATCAATCCCTCCCACTCCCTCTAACATGTAAACTCACTGAGCTGGCCCTCAATCCCTCTGTTACTGTGTCACTATACCCCACTCCCTCTAACATGTAAACTCACTGAGCAGGCCCTCAATCCCTCTGTTACTGTGTCACTATACCCCACTCCCTCTAACATGTAAACTCACTGAGCAGGCCCTCAATCCCTCTGTTACTGTGTCACTATACCCCACTCCCTCTAACATGTAAACTCACTGAGCAGACCCTCAATCCCTCTGTTACTGTCACTATACCCCACTCCCTCTAACATGTAAACTCATTGAGCAGGGCCCTCAATCCCTCTGTTACTGTCACTATACCCCACTCCCTCTAACATGTAAGCTTACTGAGCAGAGCACTCAATCCCTCTGTTACTGTGTCACTATACCCCACTCCCTCTAACATGTAAACTCACTGAGCAGGCCCCTCAATCCCTCTGTTACTGTGTCACTATACCCCACTCCCTCTAACATGTAAACTCACTGAGCAGGCCCTCAATCCCTCTGTTACTGTCACTATACCCCACTCCCTCTAGCATGTAAACTCACTGAGCAGGGCTCTCAATTCCTCTGTTACTGTGTCACTATACCCCACTCCCTCTAACATGTAAACTCACTGAGCAGGCCCTCAATCCCTCTGTTACTGTGTCACTATACCCCTCTCCCTCTAACATGTAAGCTCACTGAGCAGGCCCTCAATCCCTCTGTTACTGTGTCACTATACCCCACTCCCTCTAACATGTAAACTCGCTGAGCAGGCCCTCAATCCCTCTGTTACTGTGTCACTATACCCCACTCCCTCTAACATGTAAACTCACTGAGCAGGCCCTCAATCCCTCTGTTACTGTGTCACTATACCCCACTCCCTCTAACATGTAAACTCACTGAGCAGGACCCTCAATGCCCCTGTTACTGTGTCACTATACCCCACTCCCTCTAACATGTAAACTCACTGAGCAGGGCCCTCAATCCCTCTGTTACTGTGTCACTATACCCCACTCCCTCTAACATGTAAACTCACTGAGCAGGCCCTCAATCCCTCTGTTACTGTCAATATACCCCACTCCCTCTAACATGTAAACTCACTGAGCAGGCCCTCAATCCCTCTGTTACTGTGTCACTATACCCCACTCCCTCTAACATGTAAACTCACTGAGCAGGGCCCTCAATCCCTCTGTTACTGTCACTATACCCACTCCCTCTAACATGTAAACTCACTGAGCAGGGCCCTCAATCCCTCTGTTACTGTGTCACTATACCCCACTCCCTCTAACATGTAAACTCACTGAGCAGGCCCTCAATCCCTCTGTTACTGTGTCACTATACCCCCTCCCTCTAACATGTAAACTCACTGAGCAGGGCCCTCAATCCCTCTGTTACTGTGTCACTATACCCCACTCCCTCTAACATGTAAACTCACTGAGCAGGCCCTCAATCCCTCTGTTACTGTGTCACTATACCCCACTCCCTCTAACATGTAAACTCACTGAGCAGGGCCCTCAATCCCTCTGTTACTGTGTCACTATACCCCACTCCCTCTAACATGTAAACTCACTGAGCAGGCCCTCAATCCCTCTGTTACTGTGTCACTATACCCCACTCCCTCTAACATGTAAACTCACTGAGCAGGGCCCTCAATCCCTCTGTTACTGTGTCACTATACCCCACTCCCTCTAACATGTAACTCACTGAGCAGGGCCTCAATCCCTCTGTTGCTGTGTCACTATACCCCACTCCCTCTAACATGTAAACTCACTGAGCAGGGCCTCAATCCCTCTGTTGCTGTGTCACTATACCCCACTCCCTCTAACATGTAAACTCACTGAGCAGGACCCTCAATCCCTCTGTAACTGTGTCACTATACCCCACTCCCTCTAACATGTAAACTCACTGAGCAGGCCCTCAATCCCTCTGTTACTGTGTCACTATACCCCACTCCCTCTAACATGTAAAAGGGTCTCAATCCCTCTGTTACTGTGTCACTATACCCCACTCCCTCTAACATGTAAGCTCACTGAGCGGGCCCTCAATCCCTCTGTTACTGTGTCACTATACCCCACTCCCTCTAACATGTAACCTCACTGTGCGGGCCCTCAATCCCTCTGTTACTGTGTCACTATACTCCACTCCCTCTAACATGTAAACTCAGTGAGCAGGACCCTCAATACATCTGTTACTGTGTCACTATACCCCACTCCCTCTAACATGTAAACTCACTGAGCAGGGCCCTCAATCCCTCTGTTACTGTGTCACTATACCCCACTCCCTCTAAGAAGTAAACTCATTGAGCAGGGCCCTCAATCCCTCTGTTACTGTGTCACTATACCTCACTCCCTCTAACATGTAAAATCACTGAGCAGGGCCCTCAATCCCTCTGTTACTGTGTCACTATACCCCACTCCCTCTAACATGTAAACTCACTGAGCAGGGCCCTCAATCCCTCTGTTACTGTGTCACTATACCCCCCTCCCTCTAACATGTAAACTCACTGAGCAAGGCCCTCAATCCCTCTGTTACTGTGTCACTATACCCCACTCCCTCTAACATGTAAACTCACTGGGCAGGCCCTCAATCCCTCTGTTACTGTGTCACTATACCCCACTCCCTCTAACATGTAAACTCACTGAGCAGGGCCCTCAATCCCTCTGTTACTGTGTCACTATACCCCACTCCCTCTAACATGTAAATTCACTGAGCAGGGCCCTCAATCCCTCTGTTACTGTGTCACTATACCCCACTCCCTCTAACATGTAAATTCACTGAGCAGGGCCCTCAATCCCTCTGTTACTGTGTCACTATACCCCACTCCCTCTAACATGTAACAGAATTTGATGGCGCTCTATAAATATCATAATAATAATAATAATAACCATTCAATAAACCAGTCACCAAATTATAACCATTCAATAAACCATTCACCAGATTAAAACTATTCAATGAGCTAGTCACTAAATTATAACCATTCAATAACACGGTCACCAAATCCTACCATTCAATAAACCAGCAACTAGATTATAATTTACAGAAATATTTATGATTATGGCACTCAACAGGGAAATCAGTGTCGGTATCGAGGTCACCCTGAAATTCAACTCCAAAATTCTAAATCAATCAATAAATGGGATACCGCACTCTAATTAATATAGCAAAGTGTTGTATTGAGATACATGAGAACCTATATTCACGATACATTCAAGGGGAAAACATAATTAATGTATGCGCCCATAGAGTCAACAGCACATCAGACACATGTAATACATAAAGTATTAACCGTTATATCGGAGAAAGCGCCACTCACAGAAAATTACTGCAGTAAGTCCACCCCATAGTAAAAAATAGATTCAAATATTTTTGTTGGTTAGTCCATAAATATAAATGGATATCTATAATCCATATCAATGATGAAAACCTGTATACAGTAAAAAATACAAAGAAAACAAGAAAAAATGCAAAATTGAAAAAAAGAAAAAACTGGTTGAGTCTCACCACCCTGCTGGGCCAATCAGTTCTGGTCAGAAGGATAAATGCATGTGGGATGGGTGTTGCAGAATAAATAGATGTATTCTGCGGAGTCCGGCGCCTGTCTTAGGATCAATCCAATGTGTAGATGGTTAGTGGGCTGAAGACAGACGGGCTGCGCATTCGAGACCACGTTGTCCCTTCAATGGCCCTGGTGTAATCACCGCACATAACAGGTTTAAATACAAAAGAGAAGGGTCTAATAGGTACCTCCTCGTGTTACTCCCTGCGTCCACGTAGGGCTACCGGCACGCGTTATGTGATCACGTACATGGCGTCCCGACATCCCGCATGAGTTCAGGTTGAGAAAAAACTTTATTTATAAAACAAAAGGCAAACGACATACCTTATACTACAAAAGACGAACACTTGTTAATAAACCACATGTTAAAGGACCGCTATAGTGCCAGGAAAACATACTCATTTTCCTTGCACTATAGTGCCCTGAGGGTGCCCCCACCCTCAGGGTAACCCTCCCGCCGGGCTCTGGGGAGAGGAATGGGTTAAAATCTTACCTGTCTCCAGTGCCGGGAGGAGAGCTATCCGCCTCCTCTCCGCCTCTTCGGCTGAATGCGCATGCGCGGCAGGAGCTGCGCGCGCATTCAGTCAGTCTCATAGGAAAGCATTCATAATGCTTTCCTATGTACGCTGGCGACTTCTCACTGTGATTTACACAGTGAGAAGCACGCAAACGCCTCTCGCGGCTGTCAATGAGACAGCCACTAGAGGCTTTAGAGGCTGGATTAACCTATTTATAAACATAGCAGTTTCTCTGAAACTGCTATGTTTATAAAAAAAAAAAAGGGGTTAACCCTAGAAGGACCTGGCACCCAGTCCACTTCATTAAGCTGAAGTGGTCTAGGTGCCTAGAGTGATCCTTTAAGGTGTACATATACTTAAACATCTGTTGGAGATACAGTTTCAGATCAAATCAAGATATAAATAGCAAATAAATGGAGCTGAATTATATACTCCGAATCTAACAGTTATTTTGTTATAAATACCCCATGGTATAATTAGATTCCATTGCAACATCTAACCAGGGGGAACACAAATGATGTTATATATAAGAAAAGGAGGGTGCCCATTCACACAAAAGGGCCTCAAAAAGTTGAAGAAAAAATAAAAAAGAATGTATATAACTGTTGAAAAAAAATATTTTTATACATAATGTATAGTTAATACACAATCAATTCTAAAAATGATTGTCACTATGTAGATACAAAAAAGTCTATATACAAGAATGCCTCCACTTACCATATGGGCCGTCTACGTGTGTATTCAAAGTAGGGAACCTTGGAATTCAGGTAGCGGACCACAATGGTCATAAGTGTGCCATGTAAAAGATTCGGACCAAACCTGGTATAGTCAGAAAACTGTAGAGAGCATATCGTAAGGAATTTGTTTAAACGAGCAGCATTGTACAGAGTAGGAAAATAATGTTAATACATACAAATATTTAAGATCACAAAAAATGTTTCAAATCGTAATCTTCATTCAGTCCCATTGGGAAAGTGTCTCTAGTATGGAGATCCATTTTGTCTCCTCCTGCCTATCTCCATCTCTCTGTACAGGGGGGACTCTATCTATAATTTGGAATCTTAACTGGCTCACACTGTGTCCGTGGGATTTAAAATGTCTGGGAACTCGGGCTTCACATATTCCCCTTTGTAATGCCGCTCTAATGCTCTTCTTGTGTTCCCCTATATGTTCTTTTACAGGTCGTATCGTCTCCCCTACGTAGATGTAACCACACGGGCATTTTAGAATATATACTACGTAATCAGAATTGCAAGTGTAAGAACGCCCTACCCTATATTGTTTACCTGAATAAGGATGTGAAAAGTGTTCCCCCTTGATTACATGATTGCAGTGGGAGCAACCTAGGCATGGGAATGTGCCTTTGGGAGTTGAAAAAAATCTGGTCTTATCTCTTTTGTTACTCCCAATGTCAGGTCTAACCACTAGATCCTTAATATTCTGTGCTGTTTTGTACGAAAACATTGGAGGATTTTGGAATTCATTAGGTAAGTTCACGTCTCCTTCAAAAACTCGCCAATGAGTTAAAATCTTTTGATTTTCCTTGTTAAGAGGGGTATATGGGACTAAAAATGGAATGCTATTTCGTTTGTCACGCTGTCTATTGGGGTGCAATGTCTCTTCCTTTGATAGATTTTGTACCTTCTCCCTCTGTCTAGATATTACTTCTATAGGATATCCCCTTTCTCTGAATTTATTAGCCATATAATCTAGACCTGGCTGTATCTTTTCTTCTTGTGAGATTATACGTTTTACTCTCAATAGCTGACTGTAGGGTAATCCATCCTTTATATGTGTTGGATGATAGCTACTATAGGTCAAAAGGTTATTTTTGTCAGTGGGCTTTGTGTATAAATCACTGTGTAACTTGTTTCCTACCCGTTGGACTTTTACATCTAGAAATGGAACAGTGTATTTGTCACAGACCATCGTGAATTTGATATTGGGGTCCAGACAGTTTAATTGTTCAAAAAACTCCTGTAGTTTGGCTCTTGTGCTGCTCCAACATATGAACACACCATCTATGTATAATTTTTAGCTGATACATTTCTCAAAAAGGGGAAGTGTATAAATTAATGTCTCCTCCATGCGATTTTTATATATGTTCGGATATGTCGGAGCGGCATTCGAGCCCATAGCATTCCCTTTAATCTGTCTGTAGAACTTGTCCCCAAACAAGAAAAATTATCCGTCAAGATGATTCTAAGTAGTTGTACAATATAATTCCTGGTGTCACTATACTGTGTGGTATACTGTAATTGTAAAAAAAAAAAAGAGGTGGTATCTTTAACCCCTTAAGGACACATGGCATGTGTGACATGTCATGATTCCCTTTTATTCCAGAAGTTTGGTCCTTAAGGGGTTAATATATGATTCTTGAGTTGCTACATATTTATTTAGAAACTGGTCTAAAATTTCTGCTGGTTTTTGTAGGATGCATCCCGTGCTGCTAACTATTGGTCTGCCAGGTGGAAATTGAGGATTTTTGTGGATCTCTGGGAGAGTGTAAAATACTGGAATTATGGGGTATTTTTGATCCATATATCTATATTCTCCCTCTGAGATAACCCCTCTCGTTTTAGCCCATTTGTTTAGTACTTCCAGCTCATTCTTTAACCTAATTGTTAGGTCTCTATCAATGGGTAGATAACTGATAGTGTCTCTTAATTGTTTATCAATTTCTTTTATATAATACGCACGGTCCATAATGACCAACGTGCCTCCCTTGTCCGCTGGTTTTATTATAATTGTCTGATCCTTAGTTAAATTGTTAATTTTAACCCAGTCCTCTTTAGAGAAATTAGGGGTGTGTGTCTTGTATCTATGTGTCTTTTTCTGTTTCTTCCTTAATTTATTCATGTCCCTTCTAACCAAGTTTGTGAAAATATCTACGGAAGTGTTAACACAATTAGGGGTAAAGGTACTTCTTGGTTTCAGACCTGTCTTAAGGGGTAGAACTGTGTTGTCATTGTCATTGTATAATTGTAAAGTCGTATCTCCAAATATCTGCCTGTGAATCTGTTCTCAGTCTAGGAGGAATCATAGCCGTGGTCTCTGTAGTGGAGGGGCATGATGTATTTTAAGTCATAATATCAGTCGTGCCTGCGGAAAAAAGATCTGAGTTTTAGTTGTCTAAAAAACGTATACACGCTTACATCATAGTCATACCATTCTGTACCAGATTATAATCATTCAATAAACCAATCACCAGGTTATAATCATTAAATAAACCAGTCACCAGATTAAAACTATTCAATAAAGCAGTCACTAAATTATAACCATTCAATAATCCGGTCACTAGATTATAACCATTCAATGAGCCAGTTACTAAATGATAATCATTAAATAATCCAGTAACCAGATTATAACCATATTCACTAAACTCATAATTCCAGGAAAAGAAATGAGAATTTTAAAAAGCCCAAACTAGCTGATTGTGGACCACATGTGTAACACTGCTGGTAAATTTGTTATATTTGTAGATCAGAATATGTTGTTCTTCATCTTGCAGCAGATATAATTCCCACAATCCTCAGCCACATTTTCCAGCAATTATTATTCCCACAATCCTCAGCCACGTCCATCTACATAATGCTCAGCCAAAGTCGCACTTGCTCCAGTTCGTTTATTTTTTTGCCTTTTTGGTGATGCACCAAAATAATCAGTCGTTCCAATTTTTGCACTTGGTTTTCCTAATTAATTAACCATTTATAAGGTTCACAAAATAAGACAAATGGCTAGAAGTACT